TCCATATAAAATTTTTAATCAACCCCCCCCCCCCCCCGGGGTCATTGGTGTCCCTCTTATCAATCTGAAAATCTGGTCACCTTATTCAAGGACCTACCAAGAACGAAAAGTGGCCCATTCATAATTTACAAGAAACCTTGTTAATGTTCTTTAATAATCCGAGAGTTCTATTGTCTCTTTGGTGAAACTCCATGCATTGAAACAACAAAGTGCATAAACAGTGTAAGAACTGGAATGGATAGTAACAGAGTAGAGATCTTTGAAGTTTTCATTAATCTTCCTTCATAAGAAGCCCACTCTTACTACTCTTTGGTTCAAGAGAGAATTGGTCATGTTTTCAGGATCACTTTTTTATTTTATATATCATACATTAAAGTGTTCTTCAAGATGAGTTAAGCCCTGGTGGATTCATGTCCTTGTAGTTTCCTTGGCAACAAGAAAAATAGTTTGCCATTGCCTTTTTCCAGGATGTTTCTCTCAACTGCCCAGTCTAACCTACAGTTCTTATATCTCCAGTATTTTCATATCTAAGTTCAAACTAGATCTAATCCTGTTTAGCTTTTTGAGAACCATCGAGGCAAAAGTGAGCCAGAGTAAGTGTGAAGTGGATGTGCTTATCAAGATGATACAGATTCTTCTTTGTTTCTTAGGCATTCCATAGAAGACAAACAGTACATAAGAAAATAGCAACTTCAAGATGCAAAGTTTGAAAATCTCTACACAATCTATTCTGATTCCTCCAAATTTAGTGATCTCACATGCTGGGATGGTAGATCCATAATCCAAACTGGCATAATTGCTGACAATTCTGGGTATTTCAATTTCTAGCACAACTGGAAGCATTAGGTTGAGAAAGGTTGAAGTAATTTAGACATAGACAAAAATCTAATGTAAATTACTTTTGGGTTGTCTATGCAAATAAATAAATAAACTACAGTTAATGAAGCCAGTTTGTCCCTCTGTGCTTAGCAGCTGACAGCACTTACCCAACTTTAGTTATCTCATAATTTATACAGGGTTAGCCTTGCTTAATATTATTTAGAAACCCCATAGTAGAAATAGACTGAGAAATTTAAAAAAAAATCCTGGAAGAAGGCAGTGACAAACCACTTCCGTACCACTGCCAAGAAAACTGAATGGATGCAGTCACTAGGAGTAGTCCTTGACTTGATGATGTTTTTACTTACTTGCTTCTCAGAATTCTGACTCAATTTCAAAATTCAATGCATGGCAGCAAAGAGAGAGAGAGGTTTTTCTAAAGAATCCAGCACCAGACAATTAAGGCCAGCAAAGGTGCTTCCCTTTGCAAGAAAGTTTGTGAGCAGCCATTGGATGGTTTATCAGCTTCATATATTACTCCAGAATTATATGTCCACACTGTCCAACATGTCTATTCTAAAAATGTTTGTGTATGTGTGTGAGAGAGAGAGAGAGAGAGAAAGAGAGAGAGAAGGGGTGAGGGAGGGAGAATAAATACAGATAAACTTATTTCTAGGTTAATGGGCATAGAATAACTGGCTTAGAAATGGGATCTTTTTTTCAAATATTGACTTGAGTGCTGGATTCTGAAGATGAGCTGGTAAAGATTCTGACCTTCATTTATCTATTTTGGAAATATGGCAAAACTGAATTTTATTCATGTGTTTAAATAATTTATATAGTCACCCATAATCATAGCAGTGATTCTGAACAGTTATACAAAGTTAAACTTAATTAGTGGCCAAAGTTCCTATATTCTCTTTAAAATTCTATAAGATTACTGCACAGATGCATTTCAGCCTGCCTTTCCTATAGATTTGTTGTTATTATTGTTAGAATTAATAAGGATTACAAAGAACAAATATAATTAATTTTTGTGCTGAATCAACACCAGAATCTGTCCACCAAAAAATAACAGTAATTAACATGTATCAATGCACATCTAGTAGGTGCTGCCCTTTGTCAGCCAAATTAAAATAATATAGATCTATCTGGGTCTGTGTGAAAAGACATATAACAAAAAGTTTAGCAGCTCAGCCTATTTTTGTCTTCTAGCCTCATCTAACTTAATTACGTGACTCAAAAGGCCATTTTTTTCCACCTTCATCACAGGTAATATAAACAGATAAGATAAATTTAGGGCCCTACTCAAATAATAATATGAACATTCTAATAATATGTTAAGAAGCTTTTCAGGTTACACCCTCATGCTCTTATGCAGTATTGGTGAGCTTTAAATAGTAGATATAACACATTAGTTTTTAAAACATATATTTTTATTGAACATATTTCATCATTTACACCACATTTCCACTCTTCTCTCAAGGAATACAGAAAGACTGGTGGCCATACATGCACATTTGAACAAGATATAAAAAAGACCTAGAACAATATGGCTTCTTCAAGGAACAACAAGAATTGGATAAAATAATAGACGGGGCAGAGGAAAAAATGATAACTAAAACATATAACTATTTCCTAAGATTTAAAATGGAGGAAGAAATTGTCAAAGAGACTATGATAATTTAGGCAAATATTTTTGGCTACAACATTAAATTAGAACATTGGGAAAAATTATAGGGGGGAGTTTACAAATTGACAATGTTGGCAGCCTTTAAAGAAATTTATATAAAATGTTTTATCATTGACATTTATCCCCAGCAAGATTGGTGAAAATGTTTCCAAATAAACCAGTGGAATGCTGGAGATGTAAACATCAACAAGGCACCTTCTGTGTGGTGGCCCAGAAGCCAGAAAATATTGGAACAAAATAAATAAGTGGCTAGTGGAAATTACACAACAAAAGATTGAGTTGAAACCGGAAATATTTTTATTAGATATAATAAGAGAAAACCTATGTAAGAAAATTCAGTACATTATACTCCACATAACAGCTGCGGCTAGAATTGCATTCGCATAAAACTGGAAACAGGGCAACATTCCTTCCAATGGAATAATAATAAAAAAGGTGCTTGATTATGCAGAGATGGACAGGTTAACGATGGAATTAAAAGACGGAGAAGAAATGGAATATTATATGATTTGGAACTCAGGATGGTTAGAAAATAGATGTAAGGATACATAACGGTTATTTATGAGTCATATTAAAATGGAAAGGTATTATAAATAATTATGAATGTTGATACAATTTAAAGCTTATATATATATGTGTGTGTGTGTGTGTGTGTGTGTATATATATATATATATATATATATATATATATATATATATATATATATATATACACACACACACATACATACATACATACATACATACACACATACACACACATGAATATTTATATAATATATAGAACAGTGATGTATATAATTGGAAAGAAAGAAAATAACCATTATGTATATATGAGTAATACTGATACTGGAGCACTGTAAAGAGTGGAAATGTAGTGTAGATATAATAACACCTTGTTGTTATCATATGTATACAATGCCAGCTATAAAAATGGCAGTTTATGAAAAGCCTTTCTCATAAAGACACAGAGAATCAGCAGTGGAAGAATGAAATGGAGGTAGGAAAGAGGCTGGGGTGTGTGTGTGGGGGGAGAGAATGGCTGGATTTGCAATGATTTAAACTATAATTTGTATCCATAGCTGGTTGAATAAAACAACCCCAGAGCCATTGTGGACCATAATGCCAGGACGCATATAAAACATCTGCAACTCAAGAAAATCTCATTGTAGCTTATAATTTAAGTATGATTTGTTCAACTTTCACACTTGTCAATTTTATCCCATGCTAATCCCTGCCAGGAGGGCAAAGTGTGAATTGATTCTTTTGTCTAACAACTTCAGGTGAGAAAATATCTCAGTTTATGTTGATTTTAATTCTTGCAAAATTGAGATTGTTTGCAGTGAAAGCCGCAAACAAACCCAGCATAGTCCCTAAGTGTAGGAGATGTATGGCGGGAGAGCTTTGTGAGCGGCTGAAATGTCTGCATAAAATGACTGGAAAAATGACAAGGGAGGCGCCGCCTCTCCTCCTTCATTCCCGTTCCTGGCTTCTCCGCCGGCGCCGACTATTCCCATCTTCGGGCATCACGTCATTGGCGAAGGGGCTGGTTTCCTCTGTGGAGGAGGAGGAAGAGGAGGCGGAGGACGACCCGGCTTTCCATCAGCACCAAGGAGAGCTCCTCCCGACCTTCCCTCCCCTGTCGCCATTCGTCCGGTTTTTGCTGCTTTTCCCCCCCGAACCATCCAAGAAGGGGGCTGGAGCTAATTTGGGGAAGAGAGAGAGGAGGGAGATATTTCAGAGCCATCCGCTCTTGGGGGAGGTTGACCCAACGCCTTGTTTTCTGGGGGAAAATAGGGAGAAGAGGAAGGGGGAGGGGAGGGGGTGGGGAGGAGGAGGAAGAGGAGGAGGAGGAGGTGGAGGAGGAAGAGGTAGCAGTGACACCACCAGGGCTATTGAGAGCATCTTTCCCCTGGATGGAATCACATTGTATCCGGTCCACTATGGCGCTGGGGTTGTCCTCCAAGAAAACCTCTTCCCGGAACATCTCAGTAGAAAGGAAAAATCTGATTACAGTCTGCAGGTAAGAGGCTCTTTCATTGTGGGGGTAGAGGAGGGGGATGTAAGCAGAATGAATAAAAGAGTATTCATTCTTAGGCATGTTCCCTAAGATAAAGGTGGGAGGAAGGCCAGGTTAGTGGGCAAAGTAGAAATGAAAGGTGCCATTTCTCAATATTTTAATTTTATGTTTAAACATTTTTTTAAAAAAAGAAAAAATCTGGAAATGGCTAAGCTTACACAATGTTTCACATACATTTCACACAGGTACTATGAATATTCAGTTCTATGGGGATAGAGGTAAAAAAGTTAAAAGGTGAAAATACTATATTGAGTGATGGAAAAAACAATCAGGTAGATTGGAATTCAAGAGATCTAAGGGGACAGACTAAGTTGGGCAGAAAAGCACATTGAAAGTAAAAAAAGACGGGGGAATAACAATGGTGGTGTAGAGTTCCAAGGCAGAAGATGGGCCACACTATACATCACTCCATTCAGCATAATCAATGGACATGCTAATTGGGAATGATGTGAGGTTCCATCCAGCACACCCTCCATTATGTTTGCAGAATCAAGTTTTCAGCAATTTATGGATCTGAAGCTCAAAGTAATTGTGATTTCCATAAATGTATCCCTTATTAAATCAGTAGACTCTAACAAACTAAGAGGTTTTCTCACATGGCCAGTAGACTTAAGGAATATACCTTAAACTAATATTGACCTTACCCTAAAGCTAGCTATTTTCAGCCTTGAAACCTTATTTTCATTCACAAACTGATCAGTTAGCTGAGACAGTTACATATTGGCAGCTGGAATTGCAGCTTCCAGTGCAAGGTAGAAAATTATGGGAGGCAAGAGAAAGGCTATCTGTAATTCTTAGCTGTTATAGTGAATTGTTGCCCTTTAGAATTGAATCCCATGAAGAAGCAAGAAATAGGAAACAGAAAGTCACAGGGGGGCCTTTCAATATTAGAATCCCTTTCATTGCTTCCCATTCTTTTTCTCAAGGAAAGGAATGCTCTCTCTTGGAAACAATATTGACAGAAGGATGCTATAGGCATCCATTTAGGGAGATATGAGATCTGGGAAGTGACATCACTGTAGAGCAGTAGAAGGGACAGCGGGAGAAAAGGAGGACTAGCGGGCAGCTGCTATGGCAACAATCTCCATTTTCCAACAAAGGCATTGAGCAAAAAGTAGGACTACATTTAGTTTCTAGTTTCCTCAACCTATATCAAAATAGCATTGTTAAAGCACGGAGAAGATGGTGCAGCTTTTCTTGGAAGGTTAATGTTTTTATTCAGGTGGACTTGCTTAAAATAATAACAATAGAAAAAACAGTTTGGGAAATAGAAGAGACAAAGGGCCTCTTCTATTAGGATGAACTCATATATCTGACACTAGAGAGTGGGTGACCTCTGCTTGTCTGACAAAGTCAACTGCTCAGAATGACAAATAAATGTAGACAATCCTAGCTTGGAGCGAACCAAAGCTTCGTGTCTCTTCTTTCCTGGGACTGGCCAGAATTGGATGGCCTGCCTCCAAGCAACCTGTATCTTTTATTCAACAAGATGACCATGATATTCTGTACTTTTTGTTTTTCACAATGAAGTGAAGGAAGATGTACTCTTTACCTTAACAGACTTATTTTTAGGATTGAATGTTATTTTTTTTAAAAATTACAATTATTCTTTTGTTTTTTGAAAGTTGGGTGCAGTGTTGATCATTCTAACTTTCCGAAAGGGGTTGAGGTGGAGAAGATAGAGAATGGGGAGCTAAAATGATGAGAACAGCTTTTTCCAGTCTACTGTCTTTCCAATATTTCCAGCCAGCACAATTGTTGAATAAAATATAAATCATAACCTATCTTTCTTAGACAAGCAAATATCAATAATCATGGCTTTTAAGCTTAGGAGGAGGAAATAAACTCTGGGTGATGGATGTAAATCAATATTATACACACTGTTTTTAAATACAAGTATTCATGGTTTCCACGGAAGAAAAAAAATCTACTGCAAACATTTATGTAGACAAGCTTTTTCTGCCCATTTTCTTTTTCTTAATTTATATAGTGCTTACATAAATTAGAAGAAAGAGTAAAGGGTAAGTAATTTTGACTGATAAGATCCAAACATTATCAGCAAATATTTAAATTAGCCATAATCCCATTGAACTCAAACAAGGCCATCTTCTAGCTAGTTACACATAAGGCTAGTCTTATGTCTAACTCTCTCTATATATGTGCACATGACAGACATACTTGATAACAAAAATACCACAGAAAGAATATTGATATACAAAGTGTACTTTGGTGAGGGGGGCAGGCTTTGTGGAGAATCTTGAACATGTGCTAATTATTTTTTCCTGACCTTTGGGAGACAATTCTGTGAAAAGGCAATTGCTTCATTTTTCACTGGGCTACATTTTGAATGCTGCATTCAGGAATGAGAAATTGTGATACTCATTAACACTATTCATCCTTCTCTTCATTTTACTTTTAAAAATAGGTGTATATGTTAAGAAACTTGATAAATACTCGATTGATAACATTCAGCAACATTCTGAATGGTACTTTCTGAGCAAATTCAGCCTAACCATTGAAGATAAAATACAGTATTAATGAAGATATTATGCAGTATTACCTACTTGGATATGGTAATAGTATATATTCTGGGTGCCTAGGGGTAGATAGATATTACTATCACCATTTCTCTAAGAGCATCTAATTAACTGCTATCTGAAGAATGACAACATTGACTTTTAAAGAGAATTTGGTCAGATAATTCTGGGGTTATTATTTTCAATCTTCAAGTAGTTCACAGAATGTAGAAGTTTAGAGATAGATAAAAACACTCATTTCTGTCTGGCTGTACAAATAATTTCATGACAACCTGGGAAAAGATACAGCTTTTTAAATAAGAAAATAGATGCTTCACACGTGCTTCTATATAATGCAAAGCAGCTCATTTTAAATATTTAAATGGCTCTGATGCTTTTTTCGAATCACTTAAATCATATTTTCAATTAGCTTCAATTTCATGTTTTTATGGAACTTTGAGGAATATTTTTTCAGGGACTGCAGCCACAGCATGGGTAGGAGATCATGAAAAACCAATACAAAAAAAAAAAAGATTAAATTGCAAAGGCTATGCAAAACAGCCCAAAAAGCAAATAGCAAGGGACATTCTGAATGGGTTAAATGCCAAATGCATCACAGGAAGTTAACTGTCAGTAGATCAAGTAATCGTTTATATTGCTTTTAATTTTTTTTAAAATAAAGATTGAATCAGGAGTCTTGATTGATTGATTGATTGATTGAGTCTTATTAACTGCCAACTTCAATGGATTTTTCAGGGATACTATTATACACACTTGCTTCTTTCAAGCTGTCCTGAACTAAAATGCTTATATTAGATTTTTAGCCAAATAGGAGACCAAGTTAGCAGCCAAATTGAATCCAAGGAATAATTAAACGTATGAAAATCAAGAAGAATGTTCAGCTTTCCAAAAATTTTGGGATATCAATTGCTATTAGCCTTTATTAGACAGAACTGGCAAATTTCAGGTGCATATTTAATGGCAAAATACATTATAGCATTGTGAGTTCATCTTTGCTTTACAGAGATCTGATTTTTTTTCTGATGTTCACATTATTTTGTGTGAACTTTTGATGAACAGTCTACAACCTAAGTTTGATTTTCCAATTCATACTTGAATACCTGGCTAGGTAGCTGCAAAATTTGTTTACAGACTATAATGTTTAATGAATTACATAATGCATTTAGTGTTGTATAAGCATATGCAGTTTGAGATGCAAACAGAAGCAAAAAACATCAACATACAATATACTTTAATTACAACTTATATAAGTTGTAAAATGTTGAACAGTGAAACACTGAGTAAAAGTATATTTCTCAGACTCCTGAAAGCTAAGGAATTCTCTAGTTTTTTGTACACATTCTTCAATTTGAATTTAAAAGAGTTTACTTTTAACATATGGAGAAATAGAAATGATCTGCCCTAACAGAATCCTAATTACTACCATTCAATGATATGGAAAGGTTTTCTAATTAGTGGAAAGCCAGCCTGGAGAGGTGATTCATGCAGAAATGCCAATGGCAGCCTCTTCTGAGGATGAGTGATTTTTTAAGAGGGACCAATCCAATCAAAGATGCTACACTCTTACTCAGCATCCAGTAAAACTCAGAAGAAATTATGGCCAGAGAAGTGGATCATACAGAAATGCACCAGTTACTCTCAGGAGCTATTTACAATTTAATTTATATATGATATCAATCACCCAATATTAGTTTGCAATGGAGTGCTTAAGGAATATTGATATACTTATTTTGTGTAAATCTGGTTAGAGATATTGCTATAAGTCTCATCAGATTTATGCCAGAAAGTTTTAAGTATTCCTTAATGCACTGCTGCTTAAAGTCATTACTGGGTATAACAATCTGTTCAATAATTTCCCCAAAGTTGCTTAGAATAAAAATCTGCCATGTTTTTGTTCGTTGCTTGCTTAATAGCCACACTATTGAAACATAATACATTTGCAATAATGTAATAATATATTAGTGTACCAGAACATGTTTAAATGATCATCGTTATGTTTGTTCCAAATAAGGACAGGTAAAAGTTGGGTTAATCCAAATTGCCCTCATTTTACAGGAGGAGAAACAAAGAATCAGATAAATATAAGAAAGCTTACAATTGTTGTTGTTGTTAGTTGCGAAGTCATGTCCGACCTATTGTGACCCCATGGACAATGTTTCTCCAGGCCTTCCTGTCCTCTACCCTCCTCTGGAGTCCATTTAAGCTCATACCTACTGCTTCCGTGACTCCATCCAGCCACCTCATTCTCTGTCAGCCCATTCTTCTTTTGCCCTCAATCTTTCCCAGCATTGGGCTCTTCTCCAGTGAGTCCTTCCTTCTCATTAGGGGGACAAAGTATTTGAGTTTCATCTTCAGGATCTTGCCTCCTAAAGAGCAGCTAAGGGTGATCTCCTCTAGGACTGACTGGTTTGATTGTCTTGCAGTCCAAGGGACTCAGAGGAATCTTCTCCAGCACCATAGTTCAAAGGCCTCAATTCTTTGGCACTCATCCTTTCTTATGGTCCAACTTTCACAGCCATACATTGCAACTGGGAAAACCACAGCCTTGACTATACACACTTTTGTTGGCAGGGTGATGTCTCTGCTTTTTAGTATGCTGTCTAGATTTGCCATAACTTTCCTCCCCAGGAGCAAATGTCTTTTAATTTCTTGGCTGCAGTCCCCATCTGCGGTGATCTTGGAGCCCAGGAAAATAAAATCTGTTACTACCTCCATTTCTTCCCCATCTATTTGCCAGGAATTGAGAGAGCCGGATGCCATGATCTTAGTTTTTCTAATGTTGAGTTTCAAGCCAACTTTTGCACTCTCCTTCTTCACCCGCATCAAGTGGCTCTTTAGTTCCTCTTCACTTTCTGCCATTAGAGTGGTATCATCTGCATATATGAAGTTGTTAATATTTCTCCCTGAAAGGATATTATTCCAGTTTGGGAAGAGATGAGCTTCCGGTACCTGAAGCCTGAACCATTGATCTCTCTTCCCCCCACCCCATGTGCTTATGTAGACCAAGTTATTTTTCACTAATTTGAACACTTCTACTACCTGGATTCTCAATAGAAGTCTCAAGCTCTCATTTCCAAAATAGCAGGATTTTTTAATGACCAGTGATTAAGGCAGATATTTTTAAAATGCAAAACCTACATTTCATCACAGAATTCTAATGGTGGAAGACACGACTGATGTTCATTGATAGTACCAGGTTTGGCAGGGAAGGCAAAAATGTTTCTAAAAGCTTTTATTTGTTGAGCAAGAAGCATGGGAACAACAGGCTATAATGAGTGTCAGAAGCTACCTCGCTGAGGCTGTGCCCAAGCTTTCTGCTGCTACTTTATGAGCAAAGGCTCAGTCCATTGTTGGAAAAGGAAGAACTTTGTCTTATGCTCTTATTTTACAAAGAATTAAAAAAAGCTACTGCATATCTGGTGGTTTGGCTTCTTTTTCCTTTTAATTCTGTTTAAACAGCATTTCTGTTTAAATTCTATTCTGTTTCCTTTTTACATTCAATTGTAGATTCTCTGTGAAGACTTTATTGGAAAAATATACGATAGAACCCATTGATGACTCATCCGAAGAGTTTGTCAACTTTGCTGCGATTTTAGAGCATATACTCAGCCATCGTTTCAAAGGGGAACATGGTAGGTCAAATAAATGTATCTTGTGGAAGAAGAGGATGATGGTGGTGGTGGTGGTGCTAATCTGCATCACTGCAAATTTTATATGTGGAGCTAAGCAAAAACTGCTGAGCTCATGCAGGGCTGCTTAGCCTATGCATGACTGATGCCTGCAAATTTTTGAGCTAAAAATAGAGGAATCCCCTTTTAGATTCCTTATTTATCCAACATAAGATTGGATTTTTAAAAAACCCTACATAGAATAGAATCATAGAATGGAAATTTTAATATAAGTCCCACTGATGTCAATATATTGAAATAGAAATGTCCAAGACTGAGCTTAAATATCTTTTAAAAACAATGGTTTGATAAAACAGTGATTGATCTCCATATCCCTCATTATAACTCAGCATACACTTGGTATATGCTTCTCCAGTCTTTCGAGCCTTTCATAAACTTGGATTATGTTTCAGTGCAATGTAGTATTTTATCCTTCTGATTGGTAAGCAGATAACTCTGTTTGCTTCAGGGTCACTCTTATCAATCCAATCTGTAATATATAGATCAGAATTATTGCTTTCTGAAAGACTAAAGAAATTATGTTAAGAGATGGTGATTGTCAAGAAATAAACATTGAATAGGATGGATGGATGGAAGGGTCTAAAAATATAAATAAAACTCTTCTGAATCAAACCAAAGGTTATATCCATTCATAGCTCTCTGTCATATATTGATATATATTGATCTTATACTGATCACCATTAGGAGCAACCAAGAAATGTTGTTGTCTTAGGGCTTCAACAAGTATTTTAGAGCCTAAGCAAACAGGCTGTTTCTATTATTTGTGTCTTCCCAAAACACAATTATTTGAATAAGATGCTGAACTAGAAACTAAAAGGCTAAAATCTTGTCCTCTGCAGGCATGAAAGCTGGTTGGGTAACTTTATATACTCTATCCTGAATTGTACAAAATAAAGGCAAGATATAAATACTTACATGCAAATAAAAACAAATAGTTTTATTTTATTTTTTTAAGAACTAAAACTGTTCTGTACACTTCTTTCTGCAAAGGCAGTTGGTGGTGGGAGCCCTGTAAAAAGTGAGAAAAGGATATGTCTGAGTAGGCACCTTATGAAAATTATCACCTGCCTTGTTCTCTTTCTCTTCCCTGGGTCTTCCCAAGGTATGACAGGCAGTATCATGTATAATAATGGATGTGGGACTGATCGTGTTTTCTGATGCAATTTCAAAATCTACTTTCTAAATAATATCTGATATATAATTAGAATTAAGTACATTAAGTAGAATTAAGGATTAAGTAGTGATTTTGACATTGATAAACATTTCCACTCCCATCCATCCCAAATTGTTATGATGCTATATATGTGCTGTATTTTTTTTAGCCAGCAATGGAATTGTTCTGTGATTCCTGTTGTATATATCACAGAAGTGAGTTCACTCACCCACATTTTGTAAATATTTAAGTATATCTTTTAACGTGACAAAATGGAAAAAATGACACTTGGCTACAATGTAAAGTAGTAAGTATACAGCTTGTATAACAGTGTAAATGTGCTGTCCACTCAAAATAATGCAACACAGAGACATTAATGTCTAAACTGCTGGCAACAAAAGTGAGTACACTCCTAAGTGATAATGTCCAAATGGGGACCAAAGTGTCAATATTTTATGTGGCCACCATTATTTTTCAGAATTGCCTTAACCCTCTTGGGCATAGAGTTCACTAGAACTTCACAGGATGCCACTGGAGACCTCTTCCACTCCTCCATGACAATGTCAAGGAACTGGTGGATATTAGAGACCTTCACCTCCATTTCAGGATGCCCCACAGATGTTTAATAGAGTTTAGGTCTGGAAACATGCTTGGGCAGTTCATCACCTTTACCCTCAGCTTCTTTAACAAGGCAATGGTTGTTTTGGAGGTGTATTTGGGATCGTTGTCATGTTGGAATACTGCCCTGTGGCCCAGTCTCCGAAGGGAGGGGATCATGCTCTGCTTCAGTATGTCGCAGTACATGTTGTCATTCATGGTTCCCTCAATGAACTGTAGCTTCCCAGAGCCGGCAGCACTCATGCAGCTCCAGACCATGACATTCGCACCACCATGCTTGACTATAGGCACTCTTGTCTTTGTACTCCTCACCTGGTTGCTGCCACACACGCTTGACAACATCTGAACCAAATAAGTTTATCTTGATCTCATCGGACCACAGGACATAGTTCCATAAATCCATGTCCTTAGTCTGCTTGTCTGCAGCAAACCGTTTGTGAGCTTTCTTGTGCAACTTCTTTAGAAGAACTTTCCTTCTGGGATGACAGCCCTGCAAAACAATGTGATGCAGTGTTTGGCATATGGCCTGAGCAATGACAGGCTGACCCCCCACCCCCACCCCTCCAACCTCTGCAGCAATGCTGGAAGCACTTTTAAATCTATTTTCCAAAGCCAACCTCTGGATATGACTCTGAGCACAGGTACTCAACTTCTTTGGTCGACCATGACGAGACCTGTTCTGAGTGGAGCCTGTCCTGTTAAACCACTGTATAGTCTTGGCCACAGTGCTGCAGCTCAGTTTCAGGGTCCTGGCAATCTTCTTTTAGCCTAGCCCTAGGCCATCTTTATGTAGAGCAACAATTCATTTTTTTCAGATCCTCAGAGAGTTCATTGCCATGAGGTGCCATGTTGAACTTCCAGTGACCAGTATGAGAGAGTGAGAGCAATGATACCAAATTTAGCACACCTGCTCCCCTTCACACCTGAGACCTTGTAACACTAACGAGTCACATGACACCATGGAGAGAAAATGGCTACTTGGGCCTTATTTGGACATTACCACTTAGGAGTGTACTCGCTTTTGTTGCCAGCAATTTAGACATTAATGGCTATGTGTTGCATTATTTTGAGGGGACAGCACATTTAGACTGTTATACAAGCTGTATACTCACTACTTTACATTGTAGCCAGGTGTCATTTCTTCAGTGTTGTCACATTAAAAGATATACTTAAATATTTACAAAATGTGAGGGGATGTACTCACTTCTGTGATGTACTCTATACACCCTGAGATCTACCATTAGTGAGGGACCTGTTTTCTGGTGAACTTTGATAAAGGAATTTGGTCAAAATACTTTATATTGGTCATTGACTAGACTAGAAATAAAAAAGTTTTAATACACTAGGGATGAAGAAGCAATGTGTATACATAAAAATGTTAATATGCATCTATTATAGATTTATGATTAGACTCCTTAGCAAGTAGCAGCTAATAGACAGCCATTCATTATTGATCGGTATTGTCTTCAGTACACTACAAGTCTTTCCCCTCCTTCCCTCCCTGCTTCCTCCTAGGTCCTGCCAGTTGGTTTAGCTCTGATGGACAACGTGGCTTCTGGGATTACATCCGCCTGGCATGCAACAAAGTCCCAAATAACTGCGTCAGTAGTATTGAAAACATGGAAAACATAAGCTCCTCCAGGGCTAAGGTCAGAAGATCTCAGGGACTGAGGGAAGCCCTGTTGGGCCGACACTGCCATTACATATAGCTAAGTGGCCACTTCAGGCAATAGATGCTGGGGGCTGTGAATGACAGCCAGGTGTGTGAAGCTGTTGATGCTATACAGCCTGCCCTACCTCCTAACACATTGCCTTTTGATACTATGGAGGTTGCTAGTCAATTCCCAGTTTATTTCTATATGTGGGATGGTGTTGGAAAGAATCTTGACTTTTACCTCACTTGACAAAATTCTTTGGGCCTGCCCTTAACCCAGCTTACCTTCCCTGCAGCTGTGCATCTGACTATATATGCAGATAGCAATATAGGAAGAAAAGTAATAAGAGTTTTAATAATGGTTTTTAAAAACGCAAGCATTTATCTGTGCTACATTGGTCCAGGATGTAGCAAAATTTGGTAGTCAATATTTTTGGTATACATTTCACAAAACTGAAAGAACCACATGGTTAATGGAAGTATTCGAAAAGAAAAAGTATCTAATTTCTTTTTAAAGTTGGACACATTACCTTCTCTTGTGTTATGTTTGATATTAGTCCTACCTTTCTAAATCATTTGACAATGTTCAGTTTGTGTTAGTTTTCTGTCTGAAACATAGCTATAAATCAAACATTTAGAAAGGAATTCTGTTGTCCACAGTATTTGATATACTTGCATTTGATGTGAATCTGCATTATAGGATAAAGATAGCTGGGAAGAATCTTTAAAAAACAGGTAAAAATCAGGTCAATGGGCTTTTGTCTTTAATTAATTTGTATTGCTGTACTGTACTGCTTTCCAACACATGACATGGAAGCTTTTCATCTCTTATTTAATTTTCCACCACATTTATTTGATGCTCACTATTATTACTAAATGCAAACTTCAATGATTGAATTGCTCACTCTTTATTACCAATGGAGTTTAAGATTGAGAGTTAAGGAACTCACTTTTCAAATCAGAGAGATAAAACTTTATTTTTTATTAATTTTAGTAACTCATTGTTTTATTTGAATATGTCTGTTATGTCTACAGTGACTTATCAACTACCTTTGAGTTTATTCAGGTAAGTTTCCTGAATTTATATATGTTTCTGTTGTCTACTTGTGGCCAACAGAAACACCACTGTGTGAATTATCTCCTCTTGTTGAAAATCATGGCTTCAGATTCCCACAAGTCATTGATTTGAACACACATTGCATCTGGAAACAGATGCAGTGAGCAGCATCTTGTCTGAGAATGACGTCTATACTGTGGGATTAACTAGTTGTTTTGCTATGGAGAACTGATGATGAATCTGCTTCCAACCAAGGCAAAAATAATAAGGCAAACATTAATACCTTGTATGGGTTCTTTGTCATTTATATTTATTTATGGCAGAGCTGCAATATACTGTTGTAAGAAAATGGGCATAAAAGGTTAAGGCCTAAATGTTCTGTCATAATTGAGATTTCTGCCTAGGCATCCTCCAGGATAGCACACTGACACTCATAAACATATGCTGGGAGGTAGGAAAAGTCAACATGATGATTGTCATCCCATACCATGATCAAAACACCACAGTGGTAGAGCCTTAATTGTGCAGCATACACCTTGTGGGTATTTTTACTGTTGTTGATATAGACATAAATACCACTCCCATCCCACCCTCACTATAGCCTTCGGGAATTTTTAAAAATAGGATAAATTGAGTCTCTTTGTTACCTTCCTTAGCCAATGCTGAGGTGTGAGAAGTAAACATATTGACTCCACTGCAACTCAAGAAAAGAAAGATAAAAGGGCCTATTTGTATGTTGCAGAGTCTCCTGGCCCCATGCATCAGGCATAGCATGTGGGAAGAGAACAAAAGGCCAACCAAAAACTTTTTTAAATCACCAGATCAAGAAAGAGGAACCCATTTGTTCTCTTTTCCTACATTCCGTGGTAAAACAGTAGGTGGCTGAGAATGGAAAGATCTTGTTTCTTCCCCCCCCCCCTCCCCACCATCCTATTTGTGCTCAGTCTTATTTCTGCGTGGGCATGTAGTGAGATCAAGGGCTGGATTTCCTTCTTCTTCAGCTTTCCAAAACTTTTAGCTCAAAGGGAGTCAATTTTGTGAAACCAAATTCCAGAGGGAGAGAAGTCAGCTGGCTTCATTGTGCAATCATCCTGCATACCAGCATTCTGGGGAAATGATGGAGAGGCGCCATGGCTTTCTGAAATTTCTTTCTGTGGCTGCTGGTCTATTTGAGAAAAAGCTGAGTAGAAGAAGAAGAGAGAGAAGAGGAGAACCTATTACCTTAAATATAACTTGTCAGAAAATCAGTTCTATAAAAACAGGAAAGTTACAACGGGGAACAAAATTTCCTATAGTTGCTAAGCAATATAGTCATTAAATGAGTTGTGCCAAATTTTATGACCGCTTTTGCTGTGGTTATTAAGGGAATCTGGCTTCCGCCATTGACTTTGTTTGTCAGAAACACACACACCCTTGGGAATGTTATAAATGGAATCACATGACTTCAGGACACTGATACGTGTGAGTGTGGGGGTCTGTGTGTGGGTATGTAATGTGTGTACAAGTTGCCAAGTGTTCAAATTTTGATTTTGTGACTAAAGATGCAGACTGTGAGGATGCATGAGAATTGGTTGTAACTCACATCTTTCAGCACCGTCGTAACTTTCAATAGCCATTAAACAAATGGTCATAAGTTGAGGAGTGAGACATACTGACTTTAAAAAAGGTATGTATTTGGAAACAGCAGTGGATTAAGTTACTTAATGTCACAATAGGAACTTTTATTTGGCTGTTATCCCGCTTTCCTTAGATTTTTCCGAGCTATCTTTACTTCGTGTACAGATTCGGTTTGAAATAGATATAAATCTTTTTCAGCATTGGTCAGAATCTTGTGTTGAGTTAGTCCATGTTCATATACAATGAACAATTTTTGTAGTGCTGCCTGTTCTAGCAAACTTTCTGTTTTAGGGCCGGGCATGGATTCGTGTGGCCCTGATGGAGAAGCGCATGTCTGAGTATATTGCAACAGCACTTCGGGATACTAGAACAACCAGGTAAGAACTTCTGTGCTGCTACCAAATAAGGTAAAGGTTCCCCTCACACATATTTGCTAGTTGTTCCTGACTCTAGGGGGCAGTGCTCATCTCTGTTTCAAAGCCAAAGAGCCAGCGCTGTGGTCATGTGGCTGGCATGACTAAACGCTGAAGGCGCATGGAATGCTGTTACCTTCCCACCAAAGGGGCTTCCTATTTTTCTACTTGTATTTTTACATGCTTTTGAACTGTTAGGTTGGCAGAAGCTGGGACAAGCAATGGGAGCTCACTCTGTTTACGGTGCTAGGGATTCAAACCACCGAATTGCCAACTTTCTGATCGACAAGCTCAGCGTCTTAGCCACTGAGCCACCGTGTCCCTATTCCACCAAATAGTCACCCCCTTTTCCTTTGCTCCATTTTCATCTGATCAGGTAGGTCTGTAGCCCAAGTCTCTAGTTACTTTCCCAACCAAAATTGCAACTATACAAAGGAGCTCATATAGGCCTACACATCCTATTAAATAGGAAGGAAAAAAAGTCCCAAGCTCATAAATATAAATACAGTGTAAACTTAGATGCATGTAATTAAACATTTCAAAATCTCAAAAAGTGGACACAAGTTTGGAAATCTTGTACTCGGTATAAAACAATTCCGCTGTTATTTTTCTTCTGCAATATATAGTAATCATAAATGAACTTCTATTCTGCAAGTGCAAGACAATTACTCTCAACTTTTCTGGAAATCTGTGCATCTTAAATTCTAAGCCTAAAAAGGACGCAGTAGCTCAGTGGCTAAGACTCTGAGCTTGTCGATCAGAAAGGTTGGCAGTTCAGTGGTTCAAATCCCTAGTGCCGCATAACGGGTGAGGTCTCGTTACTTGTCCCAGCTTCTGCCAACCTAGCAGTTCAAAAAAACATAAAAATGCAAATAGAAAAATAGTGGGAAGGTAACAGAGCTTCTTCCTTTGGTGGGAAGGTAAGCGTGCTCCACGCGCCCTCGGCACTTAGTCATGCTGGCCACATGACCACAGAGACATTTTCGAACAGCGCTAGATTTTTGGCTTAGAAACAGAGATGAGCACCATCCCTGGAGCCGGAAACAACCAGCATGGATGTGCGGGAGAACCTTGACCTTTACCTTTAAAAGGGCAAAAGGCTCTTATAGTGCAATATTTGGCATTAGCCTAGTTTTTGAATTGCTTGATGCTAACATCATATACAGAGAAAGCGACGCCTAATGCTTTGCCTCTATGATGCAAAAATGTCTTATGTTCAAACTGTTGACTAAGTGGGTTTGTTTGGACCTAAATGTGTTATACAGATTTATATACAGTGTATATACAGAATTTTTGGATGACTTTGATGTTTTTAGTTTTTTGATTGCAGATGGCAGGCTGCCCAGGAAAGCGAACTGACCGAGGCTTCCCGAGAGCATAAAGCAAACTCCTGGTCCCGACAAAAACCCCTTTTATTAATTTACTGTAAATTCTGCTGATTCAAATACAGCAAAGTCTTTCAACGGAGGATTTACAGACAAGAGACTTTATTTGGCATAGAGAGCTGCCAGGCTGATTTCTGCAAAACTTGGCAAGGAGTCTCAGAAAGTCACAAGCCAATTAAGCCAACTAATTGTATTCTGCAAACTCCACTCCCCTTTTGCTCCTCTTTTATTTCCTCTGGGAGGTGCCACTCATCTTCCACCTGTGGCCTTGCTCCCAAGTTGATCCCTGTTCTTTAGCTGTTCCCTTCGTCTGGCAACTCTATGCATGTACACACTGGGGACAGGCTCCAGCTGATCGTCTGCCTCACTAATATCTGATTCTGAAAGCAGTGATTACTGCCATATGGCTCTGGCCCCCTCTCTGCCTCTGACACAGAGCCTTAATCAGAGCCTTTCCCAGACTCAAGGATTGGCCCATGTTCCTCCCCAAACTCCTCACTGTCTGAATCAGCTGCCAGCTCTGCTGGCAGGCCACAACAGAAAGCATCTGCTTTTGGCTTAATCTTTAAGAATGTGCCTGGGAACCTATATTGTCCCCATATGTTTTTCTTGAAATATAAAGTAGTGGGCTGTTGTGGCTAGGGGACATTTAAGAAGTGCCCAACTGTCCAGAAAAGAAAAAAAGGAAATAAGAGTTGTTTCCTGTGAAAAGAATGGTAGAGGCAATGGCAGGCCTTATTTCAATAAAGTAATCTTTTATAAATAGTTTTGTCATTGGATGACCTTATTCTATATGTCTATATGCATTGTGTGTATTCCTTTCCATTCTAAAGGAGAAATATGTAAATCTAGCTATATGTTCCATATTTGTAATACAGATAGTTTTCGACTTACAATAGTTCATTTAATGGCCTCTCAAAATTACAAAGGCATTGAAAAAAGCGACTTATGGCCATTTTTCACACTTATAACCATCCACATACTAACATGATAAAAATTCAGATGCTTGGGAACTGACTCAACTTTATGATGGTTGCAGTGTCCTGGGATTGTATCAATCCCTTTTGCAAACTTCCGACAAGCAAAGTCAATGGGGAAGCCATATTCACTTGACAACCATGTTGCTAATTTAACAACAGCAGTGACTCACCTAACCAAAATGGGCCAAAATTCACTTAACATCTGCCACACTTAGCAGCAGAAATTTTGGGCTGTTGTGGTTGTAAGTTGAAGACTACCTGTAATAGCATGGTGGGAGATATGGGATAACAACTCCCATATCTTTTACCACATTTACCCTTATTTATTTAATCAAGAACGTCTCTCTTTCCTCACCCCTTCCTCTGTAGGAGATTTTATGATGATGGAGCAATAATGTTACGAGAAGAATCGACTGTCCTTACAGGAATGCTGATTGGTCTCAGTGCTATAGACTTCAGGTACATTGATGCCCTCAAAAATAAACATTTTTGTCTGGATGAGCACTATTACTTTGGGTAAGCATTGTATTTTCCATGACATACTTATTGAATGAACTACATTTGATTGTCTTTGCACATAAAATCAAATAAACAATATTGTGGCGATATGTGTGCCCAACTGATATTAGAACTGTGATACTGCCCTAAACTATCTGTGGTAGGTACTCGAGAGAGAGAGGGATCTTTAAATAACTCAATCCAATATTGGTTTGTTTTTCAGTTTCTGCCTCAAAGGAGAAATTATGGATGGTAAGACACCAGTGGTTATCGACTATACTCCCTATCTGAAGTTTACACAGAGGTAATGTGATTTCCTAATGTTGCCTTGTGTGTCATTAGGATTAGGCTACAGAGCAGGATGGCAGAAGGTTCTCCAAGGCTAGAAATGTAAACTTGATTGTTCAGAGTTGAAGAGATGCATGTTTAATTTAAAGAGGAACCTCCCATTAAAAAAAAACACACATTCTAAGCTGGCTCCACATGTAAGACAGATTGGATCGTCATCATTATCATTATTATCATCATAATTGGAGAAGGTACTGAGGTGGCAAAATTAACTATATCCCTTCTGATCATAAATTTGCATAGGATGACAGGGAACAAATTATCCCTGCATATTAACAAAAATAACTGTTCCCCTGAAGATAAATAAATAGCAGAACAGGTAGAACAGAATGCATTAACATTCTTTTTGTAGGTTATTTTTTTTAATTGAAGTTTTCAGAATTCTTGGGACTTGAAATGATTAGATATATCTATGTCGGACAGGTAAACAAGATATTCTATGAAAAAACCTGTAGAAACTCCTCAATCCATTCTTATTAGGATCACTAAAATATAGTGCTGCTGTCTGTAAACCTGAGATGGACATGGAAGACTCTAGCAGGCAGTTGTGCATCCCATTTCAGTCGCTTTTTTGCAGTAAACTTCAATCTCTCTAGTTATGATTACCTAAGTGATGAAGAGGACCGGCACAGCCTGGAGAGCAGCACCAGTGAAGAAAGCTCTCCTGACCACCCTTACTTACCATTAGTGACTGCAGAAGACAGCTGGTATATTAAATGGCGCAAGATAGAGCAGAAGTTTCGCATCGTCTATGCACAAAAGGTACCTGGAGTTCAAGCATGAGCATAAGGCTCTGAGGGTCAAATCTACACCTGACATAAAAGCAAGATATCTCAAAGGGCAAAGGAAATGTTCACGGTTGCACAGCTGAGATTGGAGCGAGATTTAGAAATAGTGTTCTAGCCTTAGAGGGAGACAACTGACAAAGGAGTCCCTCCTGTACTCCACAGGACTTCTAAAATCAGCTTTCTGAAGTAAAAAAGAATCAAGGGAAGATTTTGCAGACGGGGATGATAATTTAATAGATCTAAATAAAACTTCCTTGGGAAAGAGCTAATGGAAGCAGAGTAGACATGGAGAGGGGTTTCTACATGACTGTACCATATGGAAAATTTTTGCTCTCAAGGTGGTATTTGTATTGAGGAAGGAACTTCCCATTCAGAAAAATCAGATGGTGGGGTTCCTCTAAATTGGTGACTTTAAATGTATTGGATTATGGGCAGTGTTTGGTGACATAAAAATTGTAGTCCAATATAATTGGAAGTCACAAAATTACAGGAAATTTTGCAATAGGCTAAGATAGTTATCTGTTCAGAATATGTTACCAGGGGTTAATTAAAGTATATTGATTACCTTACCAGACAGACAATTCTTAATATATGTTTAGTTTCCTATCCCCCTCCCCCTCTTTCTCAAGGAATGCACCCAAGGAACAACAGGTTGGGGAAGGCTGTTCTAAAACTTTGATTATAACTAACTCCACAAAATACTTTTTGCCAGGCTTTAAATCATTTCATATCTCCTATTGCTATGCCCTAAAGACACACACTTCCCTCAGAAATTCTTCTTTATGCTTCCCTTTGTAAAAAACACAAGGGGGAACAATCTTCTGCATTTGAAATGCAGAACTTTGAAATGTCCCTTTTAAAGATTACCTGGTATAGAAAACATATATTTTGGTGCAATATTTTTAATTTGCTTTCGAAAGGCTTATACTTGCTAAGATTTTTAGCTACCTGTTGGTTCATTGATTTATTACTACTAGTTTTGATATGCTAGAGAGTTCAGTCCTAAAACAACTTTTATTGTTGTTAGCTGCAAAGTCATGTCTGACCCATCGCGACCCCATGGACGATGTTCCTCTAGGTCTTCTTGTCCTTTACCATCCTCTGGAGTCCATTTAAGCTCACCCTGACTGCTTAAGCAACTCCATCCAGCCACCTCATTCTCTGTCAGCCCATTCTTCTTTTGCATTAAATCTTTCCCACAATTAGGCTCTTCTCCAGTGAGTCCTTCCTTCTCATTAGGTGGACAAAGTATTTGAGTTACATCTTCAGGATCTGGCCTTCTCAAGAGCAGACAGGGTTGATGTCCTATAGGACTGATCGGTTTGATCACTTGCAGACAAGGGACTCGCAGGAGTCTTCTCCAGCACCATAGTTCAAAGGCCTCAAGTCTTTGGCGCGCAGCCTTTCTTATGGTCCAACGTTCACAGCCATACATTGCAACTGGGAAAACCATAGCCTTGAATATATGCACTTTTGTTGGCAGGGTGATGTCTCTGCTTTTTAGTATGCTGCCTAGATTTGCCATAGCTCTTTAGTTTCTCTTCACTTTCTGCCATTAGAGTGGTGGTATTTGCATATCAGAGATTGTTGATATTTCTCCCAGCAATCCTAATTCCAATTTTTGATTCATCTAGCCCCGCCTTTCTCATGAGTGCTCTGCATATAAGTTAAATAGTGAGTATACAGCCTTGCCAGAGTCCTTTCCCAAATTTGAACCAATTAATGGTTCTGCGTCCAGTTATTACTGTTTCTTCTTGACCCGCAAATAGATTTCTCAAGAGACAAATAAGATGGTGTGGTACTCCCCTCTCTTTAAGAACTTGCTACAATTTGTTGTGATCCACACAAATAAAGGCTTTAGCATAGTCAATGAAGCAGTGGATATTTTTCTGGAACTCCCTAGCTTTCCCCATGATCCAGCATAATACAACTTTTGAAGGTTACTACATCTGTAGTCTAAAAAAGGGGTTAGCAATTCATGGACAAGAGTCATTTTTAAAAAAAATTCTTGCTTATTGGCTGTTTTTGCAGTTTATTCCAATAATCCATTAATTTTGTGGCAATTTCATTGTTTTACTGCATAGGAATTAACTTTTCTCCCTTTCCCCCTCATTTGCTGTGTCTCAGGGCTACCTAGAAGAGCTAGTTCGGTTGAGAGAGTCACAACTCAAGGATCTGGAGGCAGAGAACAAACGCCTGAAGTTAAGGCTGGAAGAGGTGAAAGTGCAGAATCAGTTAGAGAAACGGGAATTGGAAGGCATCATCCTGGAACTGCAAGAGCAGCTGTAAGTAAGACCCAACGCCATATACTCTCCTTGCCAGTAATAAATAGGCCCAAATGGAATCCATTTCCCCTTGTCCTGTGAGGCGGGGGGGGGGGGGTTCTAAGGTTTGTTAAAACTGGATTCTGAGGGTGGTGTACACAGTGCTTTTCCCTGGTTCCTTGCCTTGAGCTGACAGGTTGCATTCCCTCCTTCACAATCAGATTTCCCTCCTCCTGCTCTGCCCTCAGGACAGGCCTCATTCCTTCAGACAACAGCCAGTTTGCCCAACTCTCCAAGGAGATGTCCGCACCCTTGGTGAACCAGTGGCCCTCTTTGGGTACTCTGAACGGTAATGAAAGCCACGCAGAAGCTAAGATATTCAGGAGGTCAGTGTGTGTCTAAAAGATGTAACCTTTTCTCTAAGATCTCTTGCATTCTTAGCACAATTGCTGAAAATCTGTGTTGTGGGTTTCTTCCATTTCAAGACAAGGAATAAGTTTTACACTTTTCAATAAGTTTAACATTTATGAAAAATAACTTAATCTTTCCCCCCGTTTCCGTTTTCATCACTAACTTGTTTATCACAACTCTTCACAAGCCCCAGAACTTGTGTAGCATCTTTCCACTAAAGAATTGCCTATCTTTGTTCCACATCTATTCTCTATTTGCTTGGTCTAGGTCAACTTAAGCAAATAATTGAACCATAACAAATCCCTTCTAGCTTTACTCTGGTTTCAATTTGCCTTACTAAAATAGCCAATCTGTTTTTAAAGAGAAGCAGAAAAATTATTCTTTTTCAGAATGAAAGCATCAAACTTTGATGTTCTTGGAAAAGGATTAAGGCCACTGCCTAATTTAGAGTGGAACTTCATTATCCAGGAAACATTTTATTCATGGAAACAGGTTTCTTTTGGCAATCCTGCCACATGAAGAAATAGGCACAACACTGACCTACACTGTCTGATTCTGACCAATGATGAAAAAGACATTTGTTTGCTGTCTTGACTTTATATTTGGCAAATTAGTATGAATTATTCCCCATTGAGAAAATTTTGTAACCACTTAATATTAGAATTGGCTGAGCAAAAGAAGAGTTCAAGAATAAAAAGAAGGGAATCAATGGAGGACAATAATATTCAAGGATTATTCATAGTGTATAGTATAGCCTTTATTGTCATTGTTCATCTATACAACGAAATTGGTTTTAGCCTCACTGGTGCAATCAGTATAGCCCATACACACTCCACTGTGACATGAGGAACTCAAAGCCTACATATGCAGGCATTTTAGATTTTTTTTTAAGGTTAAAAAACTGGTGAAGAAATAAAACATGCCAGAGGTCGGCAATTACAAACCATAGTTGCATTGTTGCTAAAAAGTCACTGAAAGTCTGCCTGAAAAACTGTCTAGCTATCTGACTTCAGTAGCTACCTAGGTTGCCTTGTTTTAAGATGTGCCTCCTGTACACATCAGAATTATATAGCCATGGGATGTTTTTCTGGCAGCTTGCTCAAGTCTTTCTATATCAAATCTTGGCAGGGGTGCCTTTGGAATTATGAAACCAAATTACGACCTCTTTAAACATGGCTCATGTGATGGGCATGACCAAGGTCAATTATAAACCATACATTGAAAAAAAAATCAAAGTGAAGATGCTTCCAGGATGCCCTCTGACATTCACTTTCCTTTTTTTTTTCTGGATAGATGGTCACTTTCAGACAAAGCAGTGGTTTGTAGCCACTCACTATTGCTATCATTTATATATTAAAATGAAGTTAGGTAGGACAGAGGAGCCAGCATATCTCAACAGTTACCATCATAATACCAGACTGGATATGTACACGTTCTGGGATTTAGTTCAGAGATGTCTCCCAATTCTTATTTTTTTCCCCTTTTTTTTCCAGGCACAGCTTCATGAGCACAGATCAACTCTCCACAGAAATAAGCTTGAGTTCTGATTCACAACGGATGGGTGAAGGGAAACATGAAGGGGAGCCTTGGGGGCCACTGGGTAAGAGTATGTATGGTACCTGGGATTGGAGTTGTACATCACTCAAAGCCCTTGGGTCATTTCATTTGGCTTTATGTTTTCCGAACCCAACCATATTGTCCTGTTCAACCATTTGTGGTTTAGTATTTGTTAAACCCCCAAAGGGCTTACTTTTAAAAAAATAAGACATGCCACAGCTTATCACGCCCTTTGCCCTTCATTTTATTTTCCTTTCTATGTATGTGGATGCTGGCTCCCACAAAGGACATTTATTAAATTTATAGGCTACCCATCTCCCTGATAAGACAATTCTGAAAATTTTTAGAGTCCCATAATTAATATTTTCCAAGGCAAGTATGTTACACAAGAAACAGATTCTTGGTCTTGGCTCAAATCAAGCTGAGACTATGAAATCACACTTCCTGTTTTCTGCATAATGTATGAAAAAGTTATTAGTTTCAAGAAATAAATAATTCCAATAATTAACAACAGTGGTTCCTCACAAACCGGAAGTTCCATTTCCCATTAAGCTTTGTCTACAGATTTGTCAGTGATTTCACATCTAGAAATAAAGCAAAAATAGGCTTTGTTGTTCCATCTCCCTTTGGGTTTCCCTTGTTCCAGTTGACTTTCCAATACATATTATGTAATTCTATTCAAACTACCCTAATTTAGTAATTTAGTAATTTAATAGATTTGTATGCCGCCCAATCCCGTAGGACTCTGAGCGGCTTACAGAAACAAGATAAAATTAAAAGTTAAAAATAAAAAGATACAATTTTAAAAACAACACACCATACATTCCGTCTAGGTGGGGCTGGACCTTGTTCAACAGCCCCAGGCCTGCCGGAACAGCCAGGTTTTAGTGGCTTTTCAGAATGCCGAGAGAGTGGAAAGGGTCCGGATCTCTACGGATAGATCGTTCCACAGGGCCAGAGCAGCTACAGAGAAGGCCCTCCCCCGAGGGGCCGCCAGCCGGCATTGTCCGGCTGACAGCACCCGGAGGAGGCCTAACCTGTGAGATCTTATTGGTCGTAGGGAGGTATGTGGCAGGAGGCGGTCTCTCAGATAGCCAGGTCCTAGGCCATGTAGGGCTTTAAAAGTAATGACTAGCACCTTGAAGCGCGTTCGGAAACCAATAGGAAGCCAGTGCAGCTCGTGGAGGATGGGTGTAACGGGTGTATCTAGGTACACCCGATATCGCTCACGCGGCTGCATTCTGGACCAACTGTAGTCTCCGAACACTTTTCAGGGGCAGCCCCATGTAGAGTGCGTTACAGTAATCGAGCCTTGAGGTGACGAGGGCATGAGTGGCCATTCGAAGTGCCTCCTGGTCCAGGTAGAGCCGCAACTGGTGCACCAGGCAAACCTGGGCAAAAGCCCCCCTGGTCACAGCCGATAGGTGATGTTCCAATGTCAGTTGCGAATCCAGGAGGACACCCAAGTTGCGAACCCTCTCTGAGGGGTGTAAGATTTCACCCCCCAGGCTAAGGGATGGAATGTCTGGACTATCCTTGGGAGGCAACATCAATAGCCACTCTGTCTTGTCTGGATTGAGTGCAAGCTTGTTCATTCCCATCCAGACTCCGACAGCCTCCAGGCACTGGCACATCACTTCCACCACTTCCCTGATTTGGCACGGGGCGGACAGATACAGTTGTGTATCGTCCGCATATTGATGATATTTAATCCCGTGCCGGAGTATGATCTCACCCAGTGGCTTCATGTAGATATTAAATAGGAGGGGGGGACAGGACCGAGCCCTGCGGCACCCCATATTTGAGGGGCCTAGAGGTTGACCTCTGTCCTCCAACTAACACCGACTGCGACCTGTCCGAGAGGTAGGAGAACCACCGTAAAACGGTGCCTCCCACTCCCACCTCCCTGAATATATTAGAATTCAATAGCCTTTTATATTTTATGCTTAAAACAATTATGTTTGTTGTTTGAATTATTAAGACATTAGAATCATCTTAAATTGATTTTCAGGACAAAACATTGGACATAGCATATATAGTTCCAAATTGATGCCAAGATGAAATTATCTGCAATTATTTGCATTTTGTCTTGAAATTTGTCTTCTCAATCAAGAGGCACATTCATAACAATAACATACAGAACACTGGCTTCTTTGCAGGATCATAATTCTGTTTTGCATTCTCAGTCTTCCAAGTAACATGGACATCCATCTTATGCAATGCCAGCCTTCTGGCTTTCTCTCTCTAAAACAAATGTGTAATTAATTTTTCAAGTTACAACTGCTGTTTTTTTGGATTAAGCTCTACATTTTTAAACTTTCAATAAAGTTAATGAACTTTTATTGAGGAGTTATTAATAATGTATTAACAAATTAATGAATGTGGTGCTAAGTGCCCTCCATATGCAGCCTCAGACTCTTCAAAAGTTATCAATAGATTTCTTTTGTAAGCAAAGTAGAAATTCAACACACAGGGGAAGTTTTAGCTTTTAATCTAGCTGTTATGGAGTGATGGAGTATATGCCAGCCATGTTCTCAGAGGTGGTCTACACTCATTTTAAAACCTTCCCTCTCTTCTTCTCTTTGCAGGAAAGGACCCAACTCCATCAATGTTGGGCCTCTGTGGATCTTTGGCCTCACTGCCTAGCTGCAAATCTTTAGCTAGCTTAAAATCCAATGAGTGTCTGGTGAGCGACAGCACAGAGCCCAGCCCTGCTCATAGCCCCAGCTGAGACATCTTATAAATGTCTATGAAGGAGATTTTGGGCGGACAAAACATCTTGAGTCAAGCCCCTTTGGCTTGATTTCAGCAGGTGGGGAGGGCAACTGAACCATTTATCCAGCTTGATGCAAAAGGGCAATGTGTCTGCTTCCTCATCAAAATATTCTTAGAAACCCAGACTTTCTTCCTTAAATTGGGAGCAGAGAAAAAAAAGAGAAAGCACCCACTTTGTCAAAAAATGGAAGGATTGGCAACAAAAAGTGCTTTTGTAACATGATGCTGTATATATGTAATGTATATTATATATGGTTGAGATTGCCAAAAGATGGCTGCCTCTGCAAAACATTTAAGAAAAAACCCTTTAAATGTCTATTTCCAGAGGCAGAAAGAAAGATCCCTTACAAGTTGAAATCTGCCACACATTGTTCAATGTGAAGATTTGCACAATGGAAAAGGAAATTGCCTGATCCTATATCTGTCCCCTTTCATTGAAGTGAATGCTCTGTGGTTGTGTTCCTGAAAACAGCATTTTAAGACTTAATTGTGGGAAGGGAGATAATTTGTTACCTATCTTAAACCCACTGCCACACTTGAAAGACAAATGCAGGATCTGTTTTGGTTAATCGTATTACAGAAAGGGGATTCAAGGCAGCTTCAGATTCCTGGATAACTTTTCAGCACAAGAATCATTTTTGTGTCTTCCTTGGCCCTGCCACTCTTGAATGAGTCTACTTCCAACATGTTTCTCCTGCATGTTGTTACCCCATTGGAATTTTCTGCTTTAGGGATAGAACATTGGAAGTTGAAGAAGAACCAATATTTATATCTTGACTTTTGATCTGTGCCATAGTTCTGAAGCAGCAAGACAAACATTAAGAATCTACTCCGGGATAAATCAAGATCATCACTGACCAGAACTGAGAAACTGACTGGTACCACCTAGTGCGATTGTTAGAACAGACATTAAATCAAATTAAGGAGTTGGCAGACAATGCTTACTGATGTTATTTTCTAGTAACAAATTCAGGGTAGGTTTTTAAATTCTGCAGTCACTAACAATTTCAACAGTGACAAACTGTGTCAAGAATGGGACAACTCACTTAGTCGTCCCATTCTTTCCTCCAAGTAGACACATGTTTCAATGGTTATGTGTAACACAAAAGGGAAGAGCTTCTTCCCATAACCTTGTAATAATGACAGTATTGTCAAAATTCCAAAGCCATAGCTGAAAAACTTTGGTATGTCTATGTGGGTGGTGAGGGAATTCATATTTCTCTCATTTAGAGTACTGAGAGATAAACTGGCTATGTTTATGAGCATTGCAAACTTAGCCTATGTTGCTAGTTATGGTTTGTGTATGTTTAGAACACTGGCTCAATTGAACCAGGCAAACTCTACTGTTTTTAGCTTCATACATTTTCTCATGAGCTATTATCTGCATATTGCTGAAAGAATGGGAATTGCTTAAGACCAATTGATAAGCTGATGGTGGATGTACGAAACTCAATAGTTTCCCATTGCTGCCAATGTTGCCAAGGTTATTTAGGAGAATCTTATCCCAGTGCAACGTTTCCTAATATTAGACTACCGTGTTTCCCCAAAAATAAGACAGGGTCTTATTTTCTTTTGACTCCCAAAATAAGCACTTGGCCTTATTTTCGGGGAGGTCTTATTATTTTTGAGGTGCAGGAGGTGGCAAGCATGGTCACCTCATGGCTGCAGCTGTGTTGCAATATTTTCGGGGAGGGCTTATTTTAGTGCATGCAGTCAAAAGCCCAATTGGGCTTATTATCCGGGGAGGTCTTATTTTCAAGGAAACAGGGTATGTAAATCTTCTGTGGCTCACTATATACGACAGGAGCAGCAATACAACACCTGCGATCACCATGTCATATAAGATTTCATCTGGCTGTTAAAATAAATTCAAATCATACTAGGGGTTATCTTCTGTGTTTCTGAAGTCCACAGGCTGAGAATCTTTTAGTCTTAGCCAACCAATATACACTACCAGCTCTCAAAACCAAAACTGGATTAAAAGAAATGTTCATGGTGCAGCAGTAATGATCTGCTTGTTGGGTGAGAAGTCATTAAAATGTTTAAGAGTAAAGGAAGCCATAGAGAAGCTAAAAGAAATGTATTGTATCATATCTCAAATTATCCACCATCAGATTCTCCCATATGGAAAATATGAACTATATGAGCAACAGAAAGTTAAGATACATTCAAAATAATTTCTTCCTTATCAACTATATATTTTACATCTTAAAACTTTTCTTATTTGCATTCTCTTTATCTTCTAATATATTAATAATGCTATTGTATCCATTTCTTTGCATTCCTGTCATCTCATCCTGGTCTCATCTACTGGCCTCATGTGCAGCAACTATTGTATTTGGGGTGCTCAAAATTTTAACAGCTTGCACGGTGGTCAGGAGGAAGGTTTCAGTTTGCTGAAATAACGCTATTAGAGACCTAATGATTTACTGCTGGAATTGCATTTGATCTACATACACATAATACACTAAACTTGTTCACAAATGGCAAAAAGAAATCACATCGCCTGGTTTATCCAACACACTGACACAACAGTTGAATTTACATCTTATATTAAACTAAACTCCAATTTAGCCCGGTCTATCATGTTTTGCAAACTCATCCACTGAAACCAAGTTTCCCTTTTTTGTTCGTACAATAAAATATATTTATGGGTAAATCTAGTGAATTAGCTTATCAGAGTGAGACAAAACAAATAAAAAGAACACTCAGCATTTTATTTAGGAATCAAATGCATTCCTTCGATTATGGCAGTTCTCACTAGATAAAGAGTTTTAAAGATTGAAGACATACTTTTTGTTACCAGATGCCACATGGCAGTGTGCGTGCCATTTTTTTGGTTCTAGAGAGTACAGGGAACATTACTGAATTGAGATGGATGACATTGCCTGATATTTTAAAAATAGTTTCCCAACCATGCTATTCCCTTATGGCAGGTGTCGGCAAACCTAAACACTCAAAGAGCCATGTGGGCCCGTTTCCCACAGAAAAAAACCGGGAGCCACAAAGGTCCTAATTTCCCCCACCAGTCTCCTCGTAGCGCAGCATACTTTTTCCTCTACCTATCATAACCGAAAACCCTACCAATTGTGGAGACAACTGGGAAACCCTCCCCTTGCCATAGAGTCTTCTGGTGCGCTGTGCTTCTCTCCCCACCCCCACTGGAAGCTTCCCTCAAAATTGTGGCGCCGACCGGTGATGGAGCCACAGCAGAGGGAGGAAAGAGCCACATGCGGCTCCAGAGCCGCAGTTTGCTGACCCCTGCCTTATGGGGTAAGATTAAGCAAAATTAAGCAAGAGTAATTAAGTACTGTAAATAGAGCATTCTTACTAAATTTGATTGTTTCAAAATGATTCACTATATTTTTCTACATCCCATCAAATTGTTTGTAGTTCTATTGTGTTCGTACATCAATTCCAATAATGTATTTTGTTCTTTAAATTTATAATCTGTGTTTTTTTGAGTATGTCATTCCAAGATTTCAGATAGCACCAGAAAATGATACTCTTCAGTGTTCTTCCTAAATTCCAAGAGCATGGTCAAAAGATCTCAAAAACAGTCATCTGAGTTTTATAATAAAATGTGAGGGTACCTGATGAGGATGCAAGGAAAGAAAAACTCAACAGAAAGACATGTCAACAATCAAGTAATGTGTACTGTTGTTTTGCTAAAAAAGTGAATTTTATTCAAGAAATAAAAAGCTCAGCTTTTCCCCCTCCACAAATATGTAAGCAACAGGCACATAAATTACAACATAGAAGGGACAAGACTATTAACTGCTAATGATGCTACATGAGATATCTGGCATCAAAGCAAACCTTGGCTGGCTATTCTCAGCTCTCCTTCAATATAGCAAATATTGAACCAGAGAACAGGAGTCTAATTTATTTTCATTCATGCTACTCAGTGTGAAGATTTCAGAGTTCAAACTGTTTGTGACAGCGTGAAGGGAAGAGCTGGGCAAAACCTGAGTGTTCAAAATCAGTGTTTCTATTCAAAGCTGTCAAAAGTCCAATGTACGATTGCAACTTTAGACAACTATATTCGTCATGCACAGGAAAAGTCAGGTTAAAAAAAAAGCATGCAGGCCAATCGAACCTTTGAAAATTAAGATACATATAGAAACATCTGCTGTCTACCAGCAACTTTTACTCTGAAGACCTACCAAAAATCATAATAGTAATGAAGCAGTGGGCATGACAATGCTAGACTGTTTTCTCCCCCCGCTTTTTTTCCTTTTTCAACTGACCAACAATCCCAACACTCCAGGATCATACTATGCAATTGGTTTAAACACAATATATTCTGGAGCATCTCCTCTTCAAATGAGCCAAAAGTTATAGCATCCAATTTTGACAGTACCTAAAGAGGAGAGGGTCTAAAGCCAAGAGGCTTAGTTGTCCATCAGGAAAAAGAGAAAGGCAGGAGACCAGAAGCTAGCTAAAGGCACCTGGAATTTGCCTGATGAATGAGAAATCCTATAAGGAAAGGAAGCAAGAGATTTATTGGTTATGTGGTCTTCTCAATCTTGATTAATATTATTCACAGCTGGGTCCGCTTTTATATCCAACCCTATTCACAAATTTGGTTTTCTTTCTTTCTTTTTTTTTCTTTTTCATCTACCAAAATGTGTCCTTTCTCTTGCTATCAGCATTTCTTTGGTCCATCTGGAGGCCACCATCCAAAGCTCTGTTTATAGGCTTCTATAGACTACTTAACTGCCGTTCCTGGTTCATTTTCTGGAAGAAGGTCTTGCCAAATTCATATGTGCTAATCATGATAGCACAGGCTGGAGCCACCTTGATAACACGAGGCAGAAAACCTATATGAATTTTGGAAGGAAATTGCAAGAAAGGGAGAAAGAGGACAAGTAAATACATCTTGCCAAATGCAAAGCTATCCTGCCTTTTTGCTGATATAGAGCTGAAGGGTATAATAGTTGATTGCCACTGCGGCCCCCATCATTCTTCCTATCTACATAAGGAAAGGGAGTTCTATAGTGCCAATCATCTTGCGATGACAGCTGCAGAAATGCAAATGAATGTTTATCTTCTTTGAAATGTAATTGTCAGACCATACTGACATTATGCAAACCAATTAGCACTGTCAAAAGCAGAGAAATAATATTGTTTTAATGATTATAGAAAGGCTTAAGAGTACAAGATTATAGAACTTTTAATTTTCACTGCCATAATTTTCACCATCAACAAGCCCATCTTCCCCAAAGGTTAAAGTAGAGATTTTACTATAAAATTAGACAATGTCACCTGTAAAGAGCCCTCGTGTGCCAGATTCTGCCCAAATCTTCTGCATAAGTAGCCAAGTTGATGTGGATTTGGGAGTGGTAACTGAGAAACAAGAAAAGAACAAGTAGTAAAACAAATCAACTGCTATACAATTGTTATATTACATTTTCATATTTGCAGACCTGCATTAATATATGAGTTTCATATGTTAGGCTACACATAATCATGTATTCATGAGTGTGAGTGGGAGCACTATAAGATAATTCTTTTTTTTTCTTTTCGGAAAATTTGTCCTATCAATGTTCCCCATACAAAGTATATCGTAATTTGATAGCATTAATCATGCAACCATCCACTCTAAATTATAAAACAGATTCTACATTGGGCATCCACAGAATGACATGTCTCTTTCTTTTCAATTCACCACATAGCACAGATGTAACATATTAATGAGACTATTTTAATTACAATCAAGCGAAAGAAGCCTTTTTTCTCACGAGGGCAGACCAGTTTGTTGCTAAATTGTTCCTCCAACTAGATGTTGTAAAACACATTGCAAATACTTTAAAGAAAGTATTTGGGAAAGGCAAAACTTCAAGCAAGCTCTATCAAATTAGAAGCTGTGTACTAACTGGACCAGAAATAATAATCCTTCTGGAAATTTATTCACTTGGC